ATAAAATTTTTAAAAATTATTTTTTCATTTGTAAAATACGTGGCTGCAAGTTACTTTGATTTATATTGTAAGAATCTCCTTTATAATTATTCTGCGTCATTTTCCATTGCATTTTACACATTAAAAAGTATGTGACTTTCCAACATACGTATAAAGTACTTTGCATAGTGCGAATTACTGACTTTTTCAAACTTTTTCTTAAATTTTTCAAAATTTTTCTGTATCCCTCTTACATATTTAGCTGTTTTTTTTGGTTTTAAAGGTCGTGCTCAATCCCGATAAACGGTTTTAGTTTCAACTTCTTTCTAAACTGGGACAAGTTTTTTGCTTTGAAGATTTCTGTCTCAACGCTTTGAAAAGACTTATGTACGTTTCAGTGTTACGTTTCAGGACGGTTTTTGGCGTAGAAAAGTTGTTTAGCATTAGCTATTGAGTCGTACGTAGAGTCGAACATTTTATTTAAATTTTTTTTTGTAATTTATAGCTACATTTTGGGGGAGAGGGTAGGAAAGCCACTACTTTTACCCTTGCCAGACTTGTCTTGCGCCTTGCAAAAGTTATCACATTTTCTCTGGCAATGTTTTGCAAATTTTAATTTACAGTCCATCAACTACTATGTAAGTACAGGAAGGACATGCTAAGCCGCTTAAAATTGAAATGTACTAGTTTTTTTCTATTTTTATTTTTGTATGTTATGGTAAATATCGGCGTGTTTAGAACAAAATGCATTTTAATATTAGTTCTTAGAGATGGCATTGTTTTCGAAGCTATTACGTTGGCGTGATGCTCTTTACTATAATATCAGAATAATATGTTTGGCCCAGATTTTTAGGCTGTGGTTAGATTTGATAACGGCTTGAAAATGAAGGCATGACAAAACTTTTAGGGTGTTTTTTGGTCTTAAAGACTTTTATTTTTCTCTTTGTTTACTTTATATATCTGATTTATATCTACTTCAATATATATATCCTATATATACGTAGCCTGCGCATGTCACGCCCAAAAACATTGACATTATATTTTGGGCAAAAGTTCATTTTCGGATTAAATGTGGGTAACAAATTGGTTATATGCTTGTTTTTGTTTGCCTCTGACAAGGGATATCCACGAAAAAACAACGGAAATTTGATAAATTTTTCTCAAAATTTTAGTTTTCAGAAATGAATGGGTAAAACAACAAGTCGTTACGTTTTGTACTATTCCTATTGTTTTATAGTGTCAAAAAGTGTAATTTTATTGAGAAATAGCAACGAAATTGTTTACTAAACGAAAAGATGATATAAAATGTTAAAGTAGGAACGTTAGGGCTGGGTAGGTGTTAGGGTAAGAGTGAGAACATGAGATGTAAGGATAGGGGTACGGTTAAGAAAGAAGATTTAAAAGCCTGACAAAGGTTAAAATAAGGGCTAGAGTAATGGCTCGGACACGGGCGAAAGCAGGGGCAAGAATCAGCGTTAGGGCTAGGATAAAAGTTAGGAAAAGAGCAAGAGTGGGAGGTAGAATACGGGCTATAGTAGCTTAGGTAGGGAGGGGCTAAGTTAAATTTTAATATATTTTTAAGTCTAATCCTTGCCGAAGATCGTCTAAAGCATTAAAGTTTATCTAACTATTCAAATATTCTAGTTGACGAAAAAAGGCCATGACGTCCGTTAATCGGCCGGCATGGTCTGAGAACAGCTATTGTTTCAGTGGAAACTTTGAAACATTAACCATGATGGGTAATACATAGAAAAGTAAATAAAACGTAATGAAAAATGCTAAAACTTTAAAAAAGTTATTTTTGCAAAAAAATTTTGTTTTTTTTTAATTTTTTTTTCATTTTTTAAACTTCCAAATAGCTCAAAACTTTCTGTTCAATCAAATCTTGATAAGATTTTTCAATCTTTTGTCGCTTTCCAGACAAAAATATTTGTTTCACATCAACAACTTAATTGAAAAAAGTGTTTGTCTCAAAAGAAATGACAAAAAATAGGTTTTGACGTGTGAACAAGTTTAGATTAACTATAATATATAAAAATTCAAGAAAAATACCTTTTGAACTTGAGTGCTACGAAAAGACAACAGTAGTTAACAATTGTGCCTACGGGGATTTAGAGTGTTTCGGGTTCAAAACTCACATTTTTATGAAAGTTTTTAAAAAATATACTTTTGGTAACGAGCCTTTAATAAGGAACAATAAGTTAATTCTAACCTAAGTGTTAGTTTTAGATTGCCTTGCCTTGCCTTGCCTTGCCTTGCCTTGGTTCTTGTTTTAGCTTTAAAAGTCTTAGTCTAATTTCAACCGTTAGTCCAAGTCCCAAGTCTTATTCTAGTTTCAGACCTAGTCCCAGCTCTAGTTCTAGTTCTAATTTTAGCTGTAACTGTAGTCTTACCTTGGACTTGTTTTATGTCAATCTGTCTTTATGTTTTTCTTGTCTTTACCTATGTTTACCTTATATATTTGTTTGTCGTTATATTAACACAGTTATATTGTTTATCATAACATTTGTTTTTTTTTTCAAAATTTCGAACTTTTTGGTCCAAACTTCCATTTTCTTCTTTAATTTCTGCAGTCGAGTTTCCAGTAACAGTTGTAGTCAACCGTGTCGTGTACTCTTATCATCAGTATATCATCATTAATTAGTCGAAACGCCACGTAACGTATTAACCGAGTATCATGCCGGGCCACGCCCATTTCGAAGGAGGATTGTACTCGGCTTAACGTTTTTTTTGCAATTGTGGGGCCGCCTAAGGGGTTTTTCGAAAAGTTTCGACTGTGTTGAGTACGTAACGTGTACTGAGGGTTATTGTTTAGTATGAGTTTGGTTTTGGCAGATTTTAGGGTTTTTGGCTGGGTTTTGAAGAATTTTTGTTTTTTTGACAGGGGAAGATTTTAGGTAACATTTTTTGTTTTTAGGTAATATTTTTGTGAAAATTTGTCTTTATAAGCAAAATATAGCACTATATGATAGTACTACTTTCTATTTTGTATATTTTTTACTTTTTATGTGGCAAAAAAGTCTTGGCCTTATTTTACACTGATTTACATGGTAACAAACGACAAAACTTTTTTTGTTTGTTTAATGTCTACTATATCTATAATTATTAACATTGTATTTCTATATATCGTTCAAGTAACTTATAGACAGCTTATTTTGTGGCTTTTCACTGTACAAAATGACAAAAACTAAAGCAAAATTGTGGGCAGTTAGTTGTTGTTTTCGCCTTCCGGGTTCGCCTTGGATAATATAATATACGTTTACTTTGTTGATTTAAGTGTTCTTGGAGAAAGGCTTCTTTGACGTAGTGTTTTTCCAAAAACAGTCAACTTGAAAAGTGAAATAGTGCTACTTTAATTGCGGCGATTTTTAAACTTTTTGGGCCCTATCTTACCCTACCCTACACTACCCTATTCTACCCTACCCCACCCCACTCTACCCTACCCTACCCTACCCTACCCTACCCTACCCTACCCTACCCTACCCTACCCTACCCTACCCTACCCTACCCTACCCTACCCTACCCTACCCTACCCTACCCTACCCTACCCTACCCTACCCTACCCTACCCTACCCTACCCTACCCTACCCTACCCTACCCTACCCTACCCTACCCTACCCTACCCTACTCTACCCTACCCTACCCTACCCTACCCTACCCTACCCTACCCTGCCCTATCATAAAATGTTTTACTTCACCTTACCCTATCTTACTTTACTTTATTTTACCCTACCTTCTCGTGTTATAACCTACATTATTATACTGTATTTTATCCTATTTTACCTTACCTTACTCTTATCTAAGCTACATTATTATACTCCACTCAACCCTAATCTGCTTTATTGTATCTCCTAAGACTGAAGATAAGTTTTTGTTTCTGTATAGTTCCTCTGTAGTGATTATATAGTTTAGGCTCATGTTAGAACATTGATCACTGTTCTTTATACATATTATACATACGTATCTGTATGACCCTACTGCAAGTATAAGTATAGTTTTTTAATAAACTTGTCCATGTTTATGCGAATATACTTTACGCTTTTGTGCACTCTCGCTATTACTTTTTTGTAGTTTATTTTTTACGTACGTTATATTTCCTATTACTGTAGTATACTACATGACTAAACTTTCTAGTCAGGGCTCATCTAGGTATAAAAAAACCAAAAAAATGTGTTTTACCGGTGAAATGATAGTATAATTATTAAGTGGTAGCAAAGTAAAAAAGTTTAAAAATTAAAAAAAAAATTATTTTAATAGGGGTAAAATGTTCAAAAAAATTTTTTTTAAAAAAGGGGAAGGTCTTCTTGTTCTAAAAACAAATTTTTATTTTGTAACACTAGCTATATATGGCTTCTTATCTCAAAATTTGGAGTTACATACGGAACAACACGTTGTAAAACTGTCATTGTTTTTGCATTATTTGGCCGTTTTATGGCTTTTGACATTGTTTTTGTTACTCTTATAGCATCAATTCATGGTATAATATCGTAGCTTCAATTAGGGCTTGGAGCCATACTTTTTATATTTACCTACCTTGTCCTATCCTGCTTTACACTGCCCTACCTTGCCCTACTTTACCCTGACCTACCCTGAAAATGCATGTATTTATGCCTATTTTACTTTGAATATTTGAGCTTACAGGTACTATAATATTGTACTATATAGCACTTTATATCATAGTTTTGTACTGAAAAGATTGTTGTAGTTTGCTTTACCATAGTCATGATATAGTATGTTTTTGTACTATTTTGTACTTATATAGTGCTTGATAGTATTTTACTTTACTATACAATATCATTTAAGGTTACATTTACTTTACTGTACAATACTATTCATCACTTTTTACTAGTTACGCTACCACAAGTGATCAACTACAATATTTTCTTTGTTGCCTTATATCTCATTAACTATAACTCGCATTGCCTTATATCGTAGTCACTATAACTCGGATTTTCATATAATTTACATTGTAAAATTTTTGACATTTTTACTATAGCTTAACCCATTCTACTGCAGTTAATATGAACAACATTTCAGACTTTTCGCCTTCAGAAATGTTGGCACTAGCGATAGTGTTTATGATAATAATAATCATCGGTTTCGTTGGCAACACAATCGTCCTCTTTGTTATCGTATTTAATCGACAGCTTCATGATAGGTAGGTTATGTGATGTTTTCTGAGTTTTACGCTATATATTAGATTAAACTTGTTACAATTTTTCAAATTTTAAAAAATTTAAAAAATCAACAGGGGGACCAAGCTCAATTTTTTCAAAGTTCAAAAAATTTCAAGAAAGTTCAAAATTTAAAATAATTTTTTTCTGCCATTTCTAATTTTATTGTATCTATACAATAACAAAAACTCACGTCCTTGTACTAAAATACATTTTTATTCAATTTAAGGCTTCAAACTTGTGTAACCCTTAAGGTTTTCACTGTTTATGTCTGTCCACTTTATGTTTTGTGGAAAAGTATAAAATACATTTTTAAACTATAGTAATAGGGTTTAGTCTACCACGTAGATAAAATAAATATTATTGGTAGAGTAAATTTTATTTTACTTTGTATGTAATTAAACAAAATGTTTTATTGATTGCACAGTGCAATAGGCTTAAATATCTTTGGGTCTAGTTCATTTTCTAAAAACTTTTTGACCGAGTTTTTGTAATATTATCATTTCTAATATGATAAGGTTTAATTTTGTCATTTTTCAAAATTTTAGCTTTAGTCATCCTAAACTTATGGCAGTTCAAGCTTTATCCACTGCACAGTGCAAAATTCAAAAATTTTTGAAATTTTTAAAATTTTAGATACACTATTTTAAATATACCCATTTTCAGTACAAACATATTAATTTGCAACCTGGCGCTAGCCGACCTGTTATTCATTACATTTTGTGTTCCATTAACTGCCTACAGCTACATTTTCCATTGGGATTTCAGTGAGAATGTTTGTTATTGGATGGTCACGTTACAGTATGTAACGTGCTATGTTAGTGTCTGGACGTTGGTTTTGTTGGCTTATGACAGGTTTTTTGGTGAGTTTTTTTTGTTGTAGAATACGGTGCGCTTTCTAAAGAAAAAAGTTTGAACTTTTTCAATACATTTTGTGACATTTCGTTACACTAGAAAGTTTCATAAAAAATTACTAAAAATAATACCAAGAAGTTCATAAGTGTATGTAAAAATTATTTTTAAGACAAAAATGTTCCCAATAAATTTTGTGACATTTCGTTACACTATAAAATTTTGTAAAAAATGATTAAAAATGATAGCAAGAAAGTCAAAAATAATGAGAAAAATTATTTTGAGAATAAAATTTTTTCCAATAAATTTTGTGACATTTCGTCAATTTTTTATAAGTGCTAATTTAGCCAGTAAACAACAAAAAATTGTTGTTGAATTGTAAAATACGGAGTTTTCGAATATTCCGATTAAATATTCGGATAAAAACAATATAAAAAGCAACTGAGATAGATAAGAACTGATCGAGATTAAGGCTTTGAGAGAAGGAGCCCCGGTAGCTTAATAGGTAGAGCATTCGTCCGGTAAACGAAGGATGAAAGGGTTCGACTCCTGCCTGGGCCACTTTTTCTCTCATAGTCTAATATCTCTTTAAATTTCTACAGAATTTAAAAAGTGAGTAATAAATTTTGTGCCAAAATTTAATAAACTAAATCAAAAAAATCTACAAAAACCTTTATTATTAAAAAAATCTAAAAAACCCCTTATTTCAGTCGATAACCTGCCCAACCCGGACGATGGGGCTGCGTCGCGGTCATTGTTGCATTTACATGTGTATAGCGCTATGGTTCATCATTTTCTGTTTAAATTTGCCTAATATGGAAAGCGTGGGACTCATACCAACGGGCGTTAATGTAAGTCCTATTTGAATATTGTTTACACTTTTCTACCGTGGGAATGTTAAACAAAAAGAACATCATTTGAATAGACACATTACATTAAAAAAGGATACATTCGGCCGAAGCGGAATTAGCAAAAAATGACTTTTTGGAGATTCTGCAGGGTTCTCGAAGTTTTTTTTGAAGTTTAAATTTTTTTTGAATTTGAGGTTACTTTGAAACGTCTGCAGAAAAAAAAACAAAACAAAGTTTGCACACTCGACATGAAAAGGGGGCTCACTAGGCCTATTCTTCGGGAGGACAAAGTTGGGCTGGGCTGGGCTGAGCTTGGCTTGGCTGGGTTTGGCTGAAAAAACATTAAAAAACAAAAATAACCCACATCTTAATCACGCCATTCCCCGATAAATTTTACTGTTTCAGTCATCCGTCTACTACTGCGTGGACTCGTTGGACATTGGCTTTGCGGAAGCGAGCCTTTCCAAGGCCCGGATCTTCTTCTGGGGCTTTAATTTGGGCGCCTACGTTCTACCATTAGCCCTATCTACCGTATTCTACCTTCTACTAGTCAAAGCGTTATGGAAGGAGAAGCTGACTACATCCAAAAACAGTCAACGTATGAAACGGCACGCTACGAAGATGGTCTTTACCGTCATCATGACCTTCGCCTTCTGTTGGTTTCCACAAAACTTTCGCTTTTTCTTCCGCGGCTTCAGCTACCCTGACATGGCGTTCTGGGAGAAGGTGCCACAACTACTGTTCATCATTCAGACTTCTGCACAGATTCTGGCCTACGCCAATTCGTGCATAAATCCAATTTTGTACGGAGTTTTAAGTGAACGGTTTCGAGTTGGAGTACAACAAAGTTGGAGGAGGTTGACTGGTTGTGGAAGTCGAAGATCAAGTGGATTTGACAATTATAAACACAGCTTGTTCACAAAGAACATGTTTGATGTTAAGACACCGTCAGAGTCTGCGCCGAGGTCAAGGACTTCACCTAGAGGATCTTCAGAAATTAGGTAAGAGAAATTTTTGGATTGGGCGTGGGTTTTTAGTCATAATTCTGAATCATCTATGAAATCTTGATTTTGAGTCTAAGCCAGAGCTTGAGTTTGAGCTTGGTAATGTGCCCAAGTTCGAGCTTGACTTTGAGGCTGAACCTATGTCGTAGCCTGAGCTTGAGCTTGATCGTGATCTTAATCTTGAGGTCGCGCCTGAGCTTGAGTCTGAGCTTGAGTCTGAGCACGAGCATAAGCATGAGCATAAACGTGAGCATGAGCATGACCATGAACATGAGCATGAGCATGAGCATGAGCATGAACATGAACATGAACATGAACATGAACATGAACATGAACATGAGCATGAGCCTAAGCTTGAGATTAAGCCTGAGTCCTGAGCCTGATTTTGAGGTTGAGCCTGGTCTTGAACTTAAGCCTAGTCATCAGAATGAGTCTGTGCTTGACCCTAAGCTAGAGCTTAAGCTAGAGCCTGAGTCCAGTTTTAGACTTAGTCCTAGCCTTATTAGCCATAGCCTTAATTTTAGTCTAGTTTGCATTCCCATAACCCATATTTTATAATCCCTTTAAATTGTACTTTAAAAGCTTAATTAAGGGCTTAAAATTCCAGCCATTTGTCATATTACAATCATATAATACAACAGACGCCTACAAAGCTGTTTGTCATCATAATGCCTAATTAAGTTTTAAAACTTAATCCTTGAAACTTTATTGTAAAACAAGTTTTAAGCTAACAAAAAAAAAACAATTTTCGATTGATATGACAAATATTTTCTTTAAATTTTTAATTAAAAAATTGTTTATCGTTCTGGAAAAGTGACATTTTTGTTTTATCACAGTAAAAGTAAGCTTAACATTGATTGGAATTAAGTTTAAGATAAGCTTTAGATGCAAAAAGTTGTTTGTTAGCCAAACATCACTTTTTTTATTGTAGTACACAACTTTTTCTACGTTATAGTGCACAAGCTTTAATGAAAATTTGGTTTATAACTTATTATTAATTGAGTGCCCTTGGTAAGTATATGATAATTGATTACATTGTATATTAAACTTTAAAAATATAGTTTTTTAATAGTCAAAATTTAACATTTGTTAAAAGAAATGAATAGTTTTTAAAAATTTCAAAATTTAGGTAACATTTTTGATCTTTTTGATTAGAAATGAGATTTTTACGACATTTTTAGTTAAAATGTAAAGTTATATGACAATTTTCTTTAGAACTAAAGATTTTGTGACATTTTTAATTGTAAATAAAGACTTTATGCCACTTCTTATTCGAAACAAAGATTTTATGACATTTTTTATTAGAAATTAAGATTTGATAACATTTGTCATTAGAAATGAAGATTTTATGACATTTTTTACTAGAAATCAAAAAAATTTTAATTCAAACCTGAAGAAATGTTTTGTAGCACCAAATGGTTTTGATGTTTTTCAGTTGATAATCTTCATGTTGACGCAGTTTATCATGACTCTGTAATCTGGCTAGTATTAGAGGGGGATAATCCACAGTTTTTAAAGTTTAGATTCTGTATCGTAGCCTTCTTGAGGATACACATTATCTATGGCTACATGATATCTTAGACTATATATATTATCTATGGCATACTCTGAGTTTTACGTACTATTTAGTAATATCTTACATGATGATTTATTGTATCGTACTGTACTTTCAAATATCTCTTTAAATCACTTTATCTATAGTACTTACTACGTATCTACTCCTATATGATTCTATCTATAGCACTTACTATACATTTACCTCAATATATAGCCATACATGACAAAGTATTATCCATGCCACCCATTAAAGTTCATATTTCAGGAAAGTAATCCCAACGTACGCGTCCGAATGTACTGATGTTACTGGAACGACCCCAGTGTCACAGCGAACGTCACTGCGCCAGACGGGAACGTTGTTGCCAGTTATAGCTCAAATGCCCACCATGGATTACGATCAGGTGTCTGAGTCGGCTTCAGTATTATTGTAGATGACGATTTGTAATTTTTTGTGTTACTGTAGGATAATTTGTCTTGTCTTACTGTAGGATAAGTTCTTTTTTCTTACTGTACAACGAGTTTTGGTCTTTAAGGCTACAGTAGAAAGAATTCTGAATTGTTAGGTTACAATAGCACAAATAGTCATTTTCTGTGCTAAAGTAAGTCGTTTTTTCGTTTACTAAGCTACAGTAGACTTTTTTCTTACTACTGGGGTACCGTAGTCCGGATTTTAATATAGGCTACAGTAATCAGAATTTTAAAACGGTAAATGTTAGCCTACTGGTATACTGTATTTTGAAGTACAATATACCTTGCTACAGTAATCCAAATTTTACTTTGCTGAATTACAGTAAGTAAAAGAGCAAGTAGGATTTGTATTACCATGATACAGTAAGACAAATTCTAATCCACTCTCTCACTGTAAACAAAGTTTTTGGCATACTGTACTACTGTAACTTAAATTCAAGCCTGCTGTGTTACAGCAATCACTATCTAACCTCATTGCTAGAAAATAATTACTGTAACATTACTTTACTTTCTAGTTTTACTAAATCACTGTCTACCCCTACTGCAACCAACTTTACACTAAAGTAACTAACCCTTGCTGACCATGTCATTTTGAAACGTGCCTTTGTACATATGATATCTGTATATCTTGTTAATAACTTCCTCCTCCGGGTATAGATTACTGTTGCTTTATGTCTTTTCATGTTATGTCTGGAGCAATGCGTTCGTATCGTACATTGTTGTTTGATTCAAATAAATTATTTCATCTTATTGGTAATTTCTGGAAATGGTATTGATATTACTTCAATGTAAATGATAATGAAGAGACCAAATGTTTTGAAGGCCAAGGTATATATTATAAATACTTAGAAATCTATGTAATATACATGTATTTATTACGTAGGATATTACTTTGATGTAACTGAAACTGAGAAGGTGAAACTGGTTTGATAGGTACGGCATATAAATATGTACATACATATACAAGGTGCGCTAAAAGTTCTGTTGCGCGATTTTTTAATCAAATATTTATTTTAAAAATCAAATATAACTAAAAAAACAACTAACAATAGTAACATATAGTACTAGTTATAACATAGTCAATCGGTGTTGAAAATGTATACGTATATATAGATTTACAGTAATGTGATAGTACTTCAATGTAGCCGAAAATGAAGATATAAAAATTTTTTAATAGTCACAATATATACATACGTATATATACATATATTCAACATTTTAGCAAGCTCTAGCTTACCTATATCTCAAAAGAATTTTAATCACAAATATATGTTTCATCGTATAACATGTCACTTGCAGGCTGCAAAAACAAAACATCTTACAGAGAAAGTACTCAACCTGTTTCACTCAGTGTTTTGTCTGGACAGTCTAAGCGCTTTTTTATCAACTTTGGTCTGGCTGTTTTTGAGATCCGGTCAGGTTCAGAAGTTTTTTTTTTTCTAACAGGTTCGGACAGTCTACAAAAAACACTAGCCTATCTCGTAAACAGCTCAAAATTTTTATATAAAGACTTTGTACCGCCACTAGAACCTATAAAAAATTTTAGCTTGCGCTTTTGAGTTTTAAAATTTAAATATTTGAGTTTCTTGCCAGTTTGGCATTGTGTTTCAAGCACTTTTTTTACCTTTCAGACAAGCTACGCTTACAAATTTAAAAATGAAGGTTTATTTAAAAGTTTTTTACTAGTATATAAAAGAAATATTATTTAATGTCAAAAAATGACAAAAATATAAGCTTGAGACACAATGCCAATTTGGCGGAAATTTCAAAACGTAATTCTTTGATTTTGATTTTCTTGAGATTTCCTGGAAAGCGAGATTTAGTACATTAGTGAAGATCTTATACTTACATAACCTTTCAATGTGAAATGTTTGAAGTCAATCAGAGCGGGGCAGGCTAGGCAATTTCTTTGTTAGCCTTATTCACATCCTTAGCTTTTGTTTATGCCTTAAGTTTAAGTTACTATAACAAAAAATGTTTTTATTGTACTACATAGTACGATGCTACATTTGTACGAAGGCAAATGATTGATTTTACATTCCCAGACGACAATAATAGTTGCGTTCCAAGTAATATAACATACTCAACATTGTATTAGCGTAGTATTAGGCGTTTGACCTTTTCGTACACACTTAATGCTACTTTTAGTATAAGTTTAATACTCATTCAGTGTATGCTCAAAGTCAACAAACATTCAAAGCTAGAGTATTAAGTGATTCAGTAGCAACAAAGTCGACAGACATGGATAATATCTGTTAAAAATAGCCGGTAATCTCTGTTTGAACATGTATTACTGTGAAGACACAAAGAAGTACTACAACTTGTAAGGTGTCAGTGGACAGCATACTTAATATTAGTCATTGTTGTCTAGAATACGTCAGAGATACGGCTCTATACAGTAAGCATAAACCACTGTACCTGCCGCTCTAATTTAAGTTTTTCTTTGATTAGCCTGAGCTTTGACTTTGACTTTAGCCTTAGCGTTAACTCAAGCTTGAGCATGAGCATGAGCCTGAACCTAAGCCTGTGTCTAAGCCTGAGCTTGAGCCTGCGCCTGAGCCTGAGCCTGCGCCTGAGCCTGAGTTTCAGCCTGAACCTGAGTCTAAGGCAGAGGCTGAGCTTTAGCCTTAACATAGCCCAAGCTATATGTTCGCTTTGATACTTTACATTACTGTATCCTTTACAAGAAAACCTTACCATAATAGCAAAGTTAATATTAATCCACGTTGCAATAGTAATTAATTTTTTACTATGTAATCGACAGACTTAACATCATTAAATCAATGGATTTACGTAAATTGCAAGACATTTTCAATAGCTTAAAACATGTGGAAGTAATGTATTTAATTAATTTACAGTTATTAGCTCTAATCGTATATCAAATCCTCAGTAATTTTGCAAAATAATTAATATGTGTCACTAAGATATATTATAATATATTACCGTATGTTGTGGTAGGTATAGTTAAGGTTTATTGAGTGCAATATCGGACTAGTTTGACTACTACAGTTAACTTTGCAAACAAGTAACTCAAGATATATATATTTACTGCCGTAATAGAAGTATAAACATCGTATGAGCAATCAACATAAGGTATGCTATATGAGGTAAAACTGCATTATTCGTCTCTTGGAGGACTTTCAGTTGCTTATCACCTTCTGATACTGATCTTTCGTAGCCGTCTATTGAATCCTGAAAAGCATAAGGTTACATTATATAAAATATGACCCTGCCCTGCCATGCCCTACTCTACCCAACTTATTCTACCCTTGCCTACTCTACTTAGCCTATCCTGACATGCCCTAAATTTTCCTACCCTACCCAGCCTACCTTACTCAACCTACTCTACTCTACCCAGCCTTCTCTACCCTACCTACACTAAGTTATGTTATCTAACCCTAAAGGTACAAATTTTAAAACTTTTTAAATCTTACATTGAACATCTTCTCTATCCTCCTCACGATCTCTCCAGCTGCATTGTTTTCCACAGTGATTTTGAAAGCAGCTTCTGCTTTTCTAGCTGCATCTTCATCAAACGGAAAATCAGCAGTATGTTCTTCTAGTTCAACCCATCGCACGTTCTCTGATAATGCTGAAAAACCAGAAAAAATATAAATTTTAAATAATTTTGTCTTTGATCCTAGTCGTAGTTCTAGCTCTAGCATTTAGGTTTAACAAAAACCCAAACTCTAGTTTAAGCCCTAGTCCTAGCCCTGCAAATGCAAAAATCTTCCGCAAAGTTTAAATTAAGTCTAATAATTTATCTTGCGCATGATGCTAAACTAAAGATTTTGTCAAAAGATGAAAGACTAATTGTTTTAATTAAAAATGAGTACAACAAAAATAAAAAATTATACCCTCACTCCCTGTAAATAAAAAAAAATTAATAAAAGCATGCTTATAAAAATAGTTTTCTTAATGTTTTCCTTCCCTTCAGCTAAAAACTCATTGAAATGCTCTTGAGCTACTTACTTACTTTGCTACCTAAATTACAAACCAGAAAAATGGTTTTTTCAAAAGAAAGATAAACAACCTTGTAAGAGAAGATAAAGCTTCAAAAACAAAAAGAAACTAATGGCAAAAAACAAATTACTCTACCCTCAAAAAAATCCACAAACAAAGATCATACCTTTACTATAGCTGAAACTTTTACTATTGTTTATACCTTTACTATTCCTCATACCTTTGCCCCTTTACAACTTACCTATACGGAACACACTGGCCACGCAAATAATGGCCAGAGTCGGATGCGCCAACATTTGTTCATGAAGCGGCTTTGTTCACTCAATTTCGTACACAATATAATCAAATTCGAAGAAGATTCCCTCAGGGTTTCGTCCTGAAATTCAAACTTTTTTTTTCGAAATTCGGCCGTTGAGAGAAGTGGCGAAAGGTGGGAAAGCAATGAGAGAAAAACATGTCAAAATGGCTGTTCTTTGCAGAAATTTATGACATACTCAATGAGCATTAACATATGGGTGTGTTTATATACGTAAATGGGTGTATATGGGCTTGAAATGGTGTTTTATATAGCTTGAAATTTGTAAAAAATTTTTAAAATACTCTACCCTACCCTACCCTACCCTACCCTACCCTACCCTACCCTACCCTACCCTACTCTACCCTACCTTATCCTACCCTACCCTACCCTACCCTACCCTACTCTATCCTACCTTAGTCAACTATACTCTGCATTACCTTATATTGTCATACTGTGCTCTATACTATCTTTCTCTACTCTGCTATTATCTAACATATGCTTTTCCAGCATTTACTGTTAAGTTACTATAGCCAATATAAAGCCCTTTCTACTGATTTTGAGCCGGTAGTATACACTTTACTTTGTTCTATCTTACCCTACCTTGCAATCTTCTCTTACCCACTCCCCTCCCCTCTCCCTTTGTAAATCCTGTACTACATAAAAACCAAAAAATAATAATAAAAGTTCGTATAGTTAATAGTACGATCAATGAAAACAGCATTACTTAAAAATGTGAAAAAACTCTTTTATGTGCATAATAAATCAGATACTTAAATCCATGTCAAAAACAAAATTCGAAAAAAGTGAGCCGCAAGTGACAAGTTTTGGTTTGCTTTGAGTGACAGAAAAATGTTGCCTTGAGGCGTTTTGACAATTCTTGTTGTTATTAATCTTTGTGCTTTATCTTTTACTCTATTTTTTTCGAAGCTGACTGCAAAGCGCGATTTAGTACATTGCTGAAAATCTTACAATTACAAGATCTTTCTATATAAAAAGTTTTAAGTCAAGCAGAGCAAGGCAGGTCGGGTGCTTTCCTTGTAAGCCAGAATTATAATCCTTACCTTACCCTACCCTACCACCGCCATAAATTTGTTTTCTACCTTACCCCTAATCTGCACTATATAAAACCAATCTCTGTCTTACTCAAACCTATCTTACTTCAACTATATGTTTAAGAGCATTGAAAGGAAGGCACAGGTAGCCGAACCGTATTTTACACTAAATCATCAAGACCAGTAGGTTTACGTTTCAGCACAGTAAAAGATATATACTGGAATAGCACACTTTCTGAGCGATAAAAACAACACAAAATAAATAAAAAAAATAAAAGGCAAGCCCGGACGTTAAAGATATATCAAATTACTGTTACAATTTTAGTTTCTTGACTCTTTTTTTATAATTGCATCGTACTATATAACACTTTTCTCTTTATATTAGGTGCTAACATAAAGAACCCGCTATTTTTTACAGGAAATTACAGAAAAAGTATGGCGAGTCCTTTGTGTCGGCCCGTAATAAAAAGTTCTAAACAAGCAAAAAAAAATCAGAAAAATTCAAAACCTCCGGTCTAAAACAACAAATTCCTCAAAAAACGTAGTAAAGTATAAGATTGCATACCTATTTGGCCCGTTTCGGCCCCCAAAAGGTTTTTGGTTTGGCCGAAAGAGCCAACAAGTAAGTACTTCCATCCGACTTTCTTGGCCATTCTTTTATGGCCGAAACGCCTTGCCATGAAAAAAAAATAGAGCAAAGAGCGCGGATTGACGGTTAATTGAAACGCATAATTAGTTTGCGGAAGTGACCGGCGAACAGTGCCAATTATTCAATGTTATTGTGGCATTGTGGCTCTAATCAGATTGTTGTGGAATAACAAGAGAGTTATAAGTTACAGTACTAAACTGAAAGCATAAGTTCACTAAATAATTGTTTTTTTTTTCTGTTTTACCTTACTGTTAGCTGTAGCCCAAACCTGAAAAAAACTTAATTAATGTGTCAGATTATTCATTTTTCTTTGAAATGTAAAGTCGAGCGTTCTCTTGAAAAATTATTGGATCTCTCCCTCTGACTATTGTTGCTCAAAAAATCAATTTTTTGTGTCTCCGATTGTCTATCGGACAACAGTAAATGTCATTCTTGATAGTTTGACCAGATTTTATGAACTTGTACTGCATCACTCCTTAGCTACGCTACCAAACAGTTATCATCAGTTTCTTTTTCGTGCAATCCTGGCTTCGGGACGTGATTCGAAACTTGATATTGGATTATTCTTAAGTAAGATCCATTTCTACAGTAGTCAAACGTAACAATTCGGCTCAAAAAATCTTCGTTTTTGCTTTGTTGCAGAAACTTTGCCATAGCGCGTCGTCGCGACCTTTTTGATCATCAATCAATTCACGAGGCATCCGTTTGTCCTGTTTTGACCATTCCAATCGCCTTCAAAAGATTTGATACGCTACTTTGTCCGTAATTAAACGACTGCTAACTTCTTGAACTGTAATATGTGATTCTTTCTCAATCTTACAAATCAGGGCAACTTGTGCCAGTTTTGATGACCTTTATAATACGAATTCTTCACTAGTCGAAAGTTAATTGACATTTTATGGCACTTTTTAGTGGGACCTTTGTTATAAAATTTACCACAAATTTTTCCTTAACTTCCCTCAAAGGTACAGTAAGACTTTATGTTTGTTTGCACTCTATTTCCTCGCATCCGACTCTAGTACGGTTAAATACACAATTGAATAAATTCACAAGTTAAAAAAATAGCAATTAGAAAACCTTTATAATCAAAAGGTTTATCAAAAAGTTTAAACCTTTCAATTATTTATTTACTGTTTTCTGATGTCAACAATAAGATAATACCTAGAACGCGCAATCCAAATGATAATATCGAAAGCAAACCAGTATCAGTCGTAGCATGACTGAAGTGTAATCTTAGTTTTTTTTTGATTTTCTTACAAGTATTACAACTTCAACTGTACTGTAAACAAAAATTGTCACGCAACTCTATTTGCGGTTTTGTCCCGATTACAAGTAATTTGCTTCTGTAGCACTTACAACATTCATTTGTCTACATTTTTTAATACAGGTATTTGACAGAGAAGTTACTTTTAAAGTTAAAGGTGGGATATCCTTTTTCAGGCTTCCTACAAGGCAAAACCGGGCTCGCCCAGACAAAGCCGAACCCACCAAGCTGGGCCGGGCTCACTGAGCAGACCCACGCTTGATAAGCAGGATTGCGCAGAGCACTTACCGGGAATTTTGACTAAGATTTTTTTTGTAAAGTCTTTTGGTACAAGGCGTTGAAAAATTTGGTTGCCCTGTAGCAAGTTTTAAAACTGGGCTTTATGCCTAACCTTACGGCTGAGCAAAGCCAGACCTAAAAAGCAACAATTTGCGTCCAACTTTTCAGTAACACCGTTTTGGCTGTTTTACAGACATTTTTAGTTAGTGACAAGTTTTCAGTGCAAAAAATCAAAAACCCTGTATTACGTACTTAAAGTGCATTTCTATAGAAGCTAGCAATTCAAATTCGGGTTACAAGAGTTATTATTGTGAATCAATTTAAATAATTGTTTTGTTTTAAATTGTTAAGTCGACTAATTTACTATGACTACTAGGTTAAATGTACGTTTATCTGCTTTTATAAGCTTTTTAAACGGTTAATTATTTATTACTACATTCAGTGTTTTTACTGTGACCGTATGGACAATTCGATAATTTTTACCCCTCAAATCATCTACTCAGTGAAAGTATATGGACGTTACTATGAACTAATAGCCGCCTTAATATGTAATGTCATAAATTTATACAGTATTTTTAAATTTACGTCAATACAAATCTACAGTAAAAACCTTAAAATTGTTGTTTTATTGATGGCGACATTAACTATGTTTATATCTTTTGGCAGGTTACACGTGCTAATACCTCAAAAGTATTACAGTATAGAACACGGGTATTACTGTAACGCAGTAGTTATATATTTGGTTAGTTTTGTATCTTGTGTGTCTGGCTACATGTTGGATGCAAAGTTTTTTATTATTGGGTACGAACGTCGTATGGCTTTTAAACATCGTGCAAGATACGAACATGATTCTAAAGATTCATTGATTGGTGTGTATAATATTATTGGGTTGGTTATAGTTGTTGCTGTTTTAAAAAGTATTATTATTTGGTTTATGTCTGGAGGTAACATTGATATTCGACTTCAACGAGCAATAATGCTAGATGGATGTTTCTTTAGCTTGAGCTTGGCTCATGTTGTTGTGGCTGCTTCGGCGGGTTATGCTGTATATGTAAGTGATTTTTGGCGTTACATTAAGTAGCCCTAGTCTATGCCTCAGCTCAGGCAATAACTCAAGCCCTAGCTGAAGCCCTATTAGACAGTTTGGGATCTAAACAAGGAAGGAAAGAAGATACGAAGTAATGGTGCAACACTGACAGAAGCGTTCGTTGTTACCGAGATATAGAGCGTTGCAAAACTAATAAAACATATGTTAATATTTTTTGTAATATTAGCAGTCTCATCAGGGGGAGTTTATATAGCAACTTGTGTATGGTTATATACTGGCAAAATAATTGAAAACGACGATTGTTACAATGCTTTAATAACGGTAGGTTTCAAGACGCTAGAGGAGTTTTTATACAAGGGTTTCAATATGATAACCTCCTGTTACAGTAGGCTGTTGCAACTTTTCCAAATTAAATCTAAAAGATAAACACTTTTAGATAGAATGCACGGTAGCATCAACCTACAACGTGTACACTAGCGTTGTAATTATATGGTGCTTGAAGCCCGTGAGGAAACGTTTTATACGGGACTTGACTTGTGGCTTGATGCAGTTAGTCGAAGTTCATCCAAAGCCTGCAGAAAAAGCCGGCGAAACTAGTGTGTATTTCCAACAGTTAAAAATGCAGTGGATATAGGCAAATAAATAAAAATTAAGTTAAAGTTAAGTTTATGTCAAAAGTGTTGTCAAACAATAAACAAATTTTTTT